TAGAATTGGTTATCTTCAAAATGAATAAAAAATTACATCCTATATACGTAAATTTGTGACCCCATTTTTTATGAGCACGATATCATGGTTCGAAATTCTATGGTAAGCCTCATATTATTCAATAAGAAGAAGAAGATTATGTGATTAGAGGAGATTCAAGTTACTAGAAAGATACCAAAAACCATCAATTTTTTTAGGATAAGATGAACTTAGCTAATGTATACATAGACAATGAATGAGTTTGGAGTGAATTATATCCATGATTGGGAGAGATTCACAGCCTCAGTCTATATGCTTGAACGCGAATGCGGTCTAAAAAGCACACTTGACGTAAATTGGTTATCAAAAGAAAATGAGCGTAAAATTGAAATTTCAAAGAGGTTTTAGCGTTCCAAAAGAATATATAGTTTGACCATTTATTCGACCACACGAAATATTGGGAGAGTGGTAAATAATTTGGACATAATTTGTGTGTTTGATGTAAATATTCTTACAAAAGAAAACATTTTTGTGAGATTTGTGCATGTTGGTTACATTTTGATGTATGAAAAATTCATACGTTTATTCTAGAATCTTTGAGTTTTTGTGTTTTTTTGGGATCTTCGATAATTGTTGAAAGGAAAATGTCGAAGGTTTTTCATCCATCAAAGTCACAAGCTTTTATTTATTCTTTTTTCCTATTTTTAAGGACCATAGTTTGTGACCTATGTGTATTTGGGTTTATGTTTTATAGTTTTGGTATTAATAAATTAATACAATGTTAGGACTTCTGGAAATTTTCTCTTTGAAAACAAACAAAAGTGACTATAATTTGAACAATATAAGAATATACTGAAGTATTATTATTTTGAAATTTTAAATTATTGATGAAAAAAACTATAATTATTTACGAACTAGAAAAACTTTTGATGAAAAAAAAACAAAGGATGACCTTAGAAAAAATATATCTTTTGGTTTGCATCATTTTATGTCATTATAAATACAAAAATCAACGTTGTGAACTGAATGTGATGAAGAAACATATTAAAATTTGTGGTGTTTGTATTTTCGCTTATATTGACACATCTTTTGGAATGGGAGAAGCTTGGTTAACAAAACAGTCCCAATCTAAAAAATTATGCGACATGTTTTTCATCGTGTTTATAGCTATTAAGAAAAATTATCAAATATTATTTAATTATATGTCTGTTATTGTTTGGATAATTTATATTTCTTTTACTGATATTGTTGAGTATTAATCTTCAAAATCATATTTGATTGAATTATTCAATTATATTTTCTTGAATATTGCATGTATAATATATCAAAATTAGGCGTTCATTAATTAAAATAATTAATAGGTATTGCGTTGAATGTAAAAATTTAATTTGCAAATTTAAAATACTATTTTTGTTATTTTTTTCCCGCGCAACGCCTAGTATCTTATTATTCTTAATTGAAAGTTTGAGAGCTTTTCTCTTTTGGTGGATTCCAAAACTCCGTTCTGGTGGATTCCAGAGTTTTATCATTCAAGTTCATCGCTTATGAACTTGATATTGATCTAGGTTTAATGCTTGCTTTTTCTAGGGTTTTCCGACTGCGTCAAATGGTATCCTCTTTCATGTCTCTTTTCGGAGCTTGATATCAACCGGCAACCAGATAAACCCTTTTTAAAAAAGATATTTGCATCAATTAATCCGCACAGGTTCGATGCATATTATATAGAAACAAACAAAATCCGATCTCAGTATCCTCCTTTTCTTGGATCACTTATTTACACATCTTTTATAACATGTGTTTTTGAACTTTCATTCTCTCAACACGAAAATACAAACTCTATAAAATTATCATTTGGAAACCAATTCTTTATTATCTGGGGAATTATGCATTCTATGTTTTTTTGTCCTAAACCTTGTAATAATTACAATAAGAATTTCAAGCAGATGAATAGCCTATAACCCAGTATCCAAGTCAAGCAAGTCATCAAAAGCACATATGAATAAAATTAGAAACACAAACAGACGCTCCAGGGATTGGCTGAGATGGATGCAGCTCAAAGCATGTGCTCAATTCCCCCACCTTGATGTGCTGGGACTCGACCAAGTCCAACAATGTGAACCAAGTGTTGCAGCCACCTCCTTGCGCTTTGATCCTCATATACCCAAGTTCAGCTAAACCATCTCTTAGACGAACAAGTCCAAAACCGGATTCGAAATATGACAATGACTTGCGCGAAGACAATTGCTAAGGGTTCCATCACGTAGTGAGTCAGGGAGACAGTTTCCGCGTGCAGCACATGCCCTACATAACACACAAGGGACAAAGCTCAAGCACATGAGAAAATACTAAGAATCATCTCCGAGGAAGTTTGTTTTATGCTAGACCATCCTTGGGTTGTCTGATAAACGGAGATAACAACGAATGATATGCTTCAAAAGGCGAGGAGAAGGCTGCTCCACAACCGTACTGCCCAACACTCGACCAACTGCAAAAAACCGCTCTGCTGTTGTTAAAATTTTGGCTAAAGCATTCATTTGGTTAAGAGAAACAGTAACATCAAGACTCGTTTCTTTATAGGATTTGGAATATCATTTTAGCTAAAGCAATAATATAGTTAGGAGAAAGAGTAGGACGAAGAACTGGGACTCCTTTTGTTACAGGACTTGGCTTATCATTATTAACAATTTGAAGTGCCAAAAGGTGGAGCAATGAAACACAAAACGAGTATGTACATAAATGCCAAAAAGCTCGAGCAATGAAACACAAAACGAGTATGTACATCTGTTTAAGATTGCTAAGGAGAATACCATATGAATATGAAAATGTTATTATAAGTTGAAAAGCTTACTGTTTTTGACAGCTCACTCCCCATCTCCATGGTACGGAGGCACAGTTGAACGAACAGAGGGAAGCTAATGACCTCTGGGTCATCAACCTGGTTAACAGAGTGAAATAAAGAATATAAATTCTCCGCCTTATTCAGAAACCAAGACTATTTACCCAAGTTTTGGTACTTTGCTTTCATAAAAAATCTGGTGGAAACGGAAATCTCAAGACAGAAAGGAAACAAGCTACGTCAGGATGGTTTACCTTCACAAGTGCACCAATGACACCTAAGCTAGTAAGCCGCAAGTGTTCAAAGGGTCTTGACTAACTCGTTGTATTAAGGAAGGGGTAAAGGCACAAGTGGGAGGTGAGCTGTGCATAAGTATGAGAAAGTCATTACAGAAAATTCATCAGTTTTTCTACTTGATAAAATAAATTGAAGGAACGGATGACCACCTACCCACTAGCATCAAACGAACAAGATGGTAAAATACACATCCCCAATGGTTACATATGTATAGCCCAAATAAGCTAGTCTGATGGAAAAAGAACAAGAAGATTACCCTTGAGAAATAACATTCTCGTTGCTACGCACTGCAGAGCAAGACAGAAGAGTATCAAGAATTTTGATACACGAACATCGGATCATTCATCCTAGAAAAGAAGTGGAAATCCCCATGTGAGCGGGATCATCTACCAAAAGAAGGGGGAGTGAGTTGCAAACACGGTTCGACTGATCAGGAGTCAGATTAGGAGGTGCAAGAACCCTTGGTAGACTGGTAGCGATCACGATGAGTTTTTTTTCCCTGATCCTTAAATGTTGATTTTGACCCAAAGGATAATGATTTCGAAAGGTTTCACAAAACTAGTTGGGTCATGTGGTGGTGTCACCGTGATGAGAGCCAAAGCTCCATCGCCTCGCCGTATGTGTTGTTAACAAGTCTGACGCGCTATGCAATTTATATTAAACTCTATCTGAAAACTAAACTTCAACCAAGCTTTAAAACGTACAAAGTTTCTTCATTTGCAAATATACCTTTGATTTCTACGTTATCATATTCATGACCACCATTGAAACTCCTATTCAACTTTTCTTT